AAGGCAAAGAGCCCCCAGAGCAGGTGGCAGGGATGCGGCAGAGGAGGAGAAGACAAAGTGCAGACCCACTGCTTCCCACAGGGCCTAGATATGGCAGAGGACTGAATTTGCCACTGTAGCCTTTCAATATTGTTCTTTTTATGTCTCTGCTTATGTAAATGAAAAAGACTTTAAAAATCCCAACACATAGGATTACTCACAAAGCAAGCTAATTAAGTATTGATGGCAATTATCAGTCCTTTTTAAGGCCTTTTTGGACACTTTTTTTCAGTCAGGAAATCGGTGTGATGTATTTTATATGGAAGGCACTTGGTATGAGCTTTTAAAAGCAATACTCCTTACCATCCTGTGTCCATTGCAAAAAGAACACCAGCAGAAGGAAATAGCCTGAACTTCTGCTTTGATGGTGCACTTTGTACTTTCTCTCCTTTGAAGAAAACATCTGTATTTTAATAAGTCCCAATGAGGGAAAGGCTTTGCTGTAGGATGAAATGTTCCTTTAAAGCTATCCTGGCATTTTTTTTTTACTGTATTTCACTCTGCGTTTTTTTTTTTTAGTGGGACAGCTTCATCCAAAAAGGACCCCTTCCTGCAACAGACTGCATCTCACTTTGGAAGAGCCCTGGGAACAGCAATTACTTCCCACCTCCTGGCTCTGTTCCATCATCTCATCATTCAAGTCATAAATCTGCTGTCTAATCTTACAATTAGTGCCTGGACTGTACCTCCCTGGCTTAACAGAGCTGGCTTAAGTAAGGCAACTTTGGTGTGGCCATGTTCCTACTGAAGTGCCTGCACTGTCACCAGAAATGCTGTGACTCTGCACTGCTGCTATCCATCCCAATACCAGACCTAGAGGTCTCAGTGGTGTTGCCAAAGGGCTGCTGCCTTGCAGAGCATCTCAGAAGGGCAACAGTGTGGGGAGCAGAGAGAGAGAGCTGTTACACAACTGCGCTCATTCTGGTGCTCATTCACAACTTACAGCTCAGACTTTCACTCCCCTAGGAAAAGGCAGTGGAAACTTCAGATGTTCCTGTCCCTGAGGGCTTCCTCCCCAGGCACTTCAGCCTGCAGCAGAGCAGCTTCCATCCAGCATAGAGACAGGACCAAGCATGGGGCTGCTACCAAAGCAGCTCACACTGCCCACTGGAACATGTCTGACATAGCCCAGGTTGGGTGTTCCCATTTTTATATGGAAAGAGAAGCCTCAACAGGGAAAGTAATTTGCAGAAAAGGGGGCTGCATCAAGAACACAGCCAGGAGTGGGCACCCAGCCTAGCTCTGCCTTTACATTTTGCCAGCTTTTGAGCCCATACAACTCTTCCCCTTTATAATGACCACATTAAACCTAGCATAGCAACCCAGTTTTAAGAAGTTCCTCCAGCTCTTCCTCTCTCTGGAGGTTAGTCATATTTCATTTCACCTCCTAGCTAACCAAAGTAACATTTTTTTGAGGAAAACTTAAAATGGCTGAAAGGCAGGCCGTGCCCACTGCTGACACTCCTCAATCTTCTCTTCATATTTTGGAAAATATGCCTGCAGCCATCTCACCACATCACAGCCAAACCACCGTGATGGGACAGCTCTCATCAGGTATGGAAAAAGCAGTGCAAATCAACCCACATGAACACTGCACTGATCTTCTAACCAGAAAAGCATGAAACTGTACAGGTGGAAAAGAGTAAAGTTGAACAACTTCAAACTCCAGAGAGAACTGGCCTACAAGATCACTAAGAAGCTCCAAAAGTCTGCTGGAAGCTGATGTCAACCTTGGCCCAACAAAGGAGGAGCAAGAGCCACACAGTGTGCAGCCTCTTCTTGTTGGTGACAGCAAAACTCATTTGAAAATGCAGACTTCACCTTTAAAAAAAATCAAAAGAAAGTAAATTGACATTCAATTATTACATCTAAGGCTCACCTAAAAGAGTAGCAACAAGCTAGCCAGCACTGGGTAGCCACAAAAAGCCAATGCGTACCTTCCTCTTCCTTTTGGTTCAGTTCAGCTGAACCAGTTCAGCTGTAAGTACTGTGCAGTTCAATTATTCCACCATAAATGCAGTGCAGGAAGTCTTCTTCCTGCTAGGTGGGTGCGGGTGCCTGTGAAGCAACATAAACTTTGTTGTATGTCTGATCCACTTTGAATTTATCTGCACACAAAGCTAACACGAATCCTTGTCTGAGGCACCACTACGTAAGAATCACTAAAGTAGCTCCTACGGGTTTCTAAGGTCTTTCCTTAGATTTTATTCCTACTTTTTTTTATTTAAAAGAGAGGAGATGATAAATACTAAATGCAGGTAAGTTTCAACATCTCCAAGTAAAATGTGCACGTGTAGTTCATGCCCAAACACAGAAAATCAATGCGCTTTCCAGCATCTAGATGAGTGGAACTGGAAAGGTGCACCTATTTCACACACAGATTTACACACAGTGAGGGGATGTGATAGTTGCCAGAGCCCAACTCAAAGTCCCACCTGTATGCAGCAATAAAGCATGTGCATTGGTGTGCATGTATCTTTACATACCTACACATAATTCAATAAAATGTCCACAACAGGAACTCGGTAGAGATTCCTATCTCCTGCAATCCGGCTGGAGCACACAGGGAAGGTGGGCATGATGAGACTAATCTCTCTGACACTCCTCTTCAAAGCCAACCAGTGAACAAACAAAGGAGAGCAGAGGCTGATGAATGCAGCCAAACTGTTAGTAGTGAATCCAGCTCTACGCCACAAGAAAAAAAAAACCTGCAAACATTTCAGCACCGTGAGCCTGAAGGGGAAAGTGGCTACAAATAAAACAGAACTGACTCACCTATTCTCCTTGTCTAGGATGGGAAAAAATCAGAAAATAAACATGTGTAGCTATTGCAAAGCAAACTGGTTTCTCTCAGCCACCTTCAGTAAAGTGGAATTGTCCACCAAACAAAATTTACTTCTCTTCTGAAGTATGATTTACGTAGGAAGAGGTCTGCTTATCAGTTTTCACCCAAAATCAGCAGCTATGAGACCAGGCATGGCAAGTACAGATCACCGCCTGAAAAAGCTGAATATTGTGAACATTTTCCACACTGCACCAGGCAGGCTGGGACATGTTGGCTTCACCTGAATAACGTTTATCCTTCTGGAAGTCTGATTGCAAAGTGTTTAAAGAGATCTTGAAAGAAAGAGATGCATACAAATAAACAGGATAATGCCTCCCCAGCACCTGGCAAAGTTTCAGAGGTGACTCATACATTATGGCTGTGTACATTTGGGCTTTGTGTGAGTGACAGTGTTGGGTTCCACCCACTCCAGATTTAAATCACAGGAGATGAAGCTCAGATGTAACAGATGATGTACATTCTCCACAGTAGAACATGCACTTACTGGTAGAGCAAGGTGAGACTGCTCCTCAATGACTACTGAAAAAACAACTGAACTGCACATCCAGGTGGGATCACCCAGGAGATGATGAATAGAATCCCAATCCAGCAAAACAAACACCTACAGTACAAGTACTGAGAAATCTTGGATGGAGGATTACTGGGTACTTTGGATGTAACTGATCCAGGCCACATAGTTCAGCCTGCAGTTGACCTGGCTCCCTCATAGCCATCCATGTTTGCTATCCACAGGACCACAAGGGCTCACATTACAGTCAGTGCTGCCAGATGTGGATGGGGTCCCAGGCCCACCAGGCTGAGTGTTCCTCAATTCCATCTGCATCTCTCAGCATCAGCACTGACCTGGAGTAGTGCAGGATGGAGACAAGAGAGGATATAATGGAACAAGGGAGTAGCTGAGAAAATGGGTGCCAAAGTGGGGTCACAACTGTATGTTTGGTCTTGCTGAAGTTCTGCTCCAACAAAGAAACAGTCAGGAACCCCAGGACCCGAGGTGGGCATGGTTCTAAGCTATGCCCCTGGGAGTCCCTCCTCGTGCTTCTGTACCACATAAAGACAAACTGGGCAGCCACAGCCAGTCAAGGTGACACAGGACAAAGAAGCTGAGCAAGAAGTGGCAGCTCCACCGGTAGCCCACACACTTGAGAGATTATCTGAAGCACTGCAATGCTATTTGAGCAGCTTCCTTTGATGTGCCATCTGGTGAATCATTCACTGGGAATGTCTTAATCACATCAAAGGCACCTATCAATGCAATGGATTTCTCTGCGTTTAGGACAGCCTGCACACTGCGCTCAAGGAAGAGATATGTTAGCACAGAATTAAACTTTACCACGCTGCTCTCCCTCACCGTAATAAAAAAAAAAAAACAAAACTGCATCACATCGCCCCAGGCAGCAGGTTTCAGAAGAGTATTTCAGCTCTACTCCAAAAAGGCTGTGACTTTACCACCAGCTTTGTTCGCGTTTTCTATGATTTATAACGACATGCATGCATCCGCGGCATAAAACATCACCAGAGAAGCACAGGCACCGACTGCGGGGCAGCGCGCCCAGGCAGTCCCTCCTTGGACTGAGAAAACCACCGGTGTCCACTGCCTCGAGCCCCGAGAGTGAGTTAGGGCACCTTTACAGGAACGGTCTTTCTGGCTGCTAAACCTATGTCGGAAGCGACTACGAGGCCAGGCGCAGCCGCATCGAGCGCAAGCCCAGGCCGGGCAGCCCGTACCGCACGGCGGCTCCATCCCGCCCCGCGCAGCCCCGATCACGGCCCGCAGCCGGCGGCCCCCAGCGGCCCGGCGCTGCCCGACACCGCGCGCCCTCGGCTCGGGGGAGGCCGGCGGCCCGCCGCGCCCGATCCCCGCGTTCTCCGCCCGCCCCTCTCCGCCCCTCCCCGCCCCGCGGCGGCGGGCGGCCGCGAGTGCGTGCGGCGGCGCTCGGCTGATTTACGGCTCTGCCGCAAACGGCTCCCGGCGGCGGCCCCGGCTCCGAGCCGGCTGAGCGCGGCCGCGGCGGCCACCTCGCGGCCGGGACGGGGCCGGGCCCCGCAGCCGCTCCGCAGGGCCGGGCCGGCGGCGCCGGGGCCCCGCGGCCGCGTTCCTCGGGGCCGACGGGAGGCGGCGCGGCCCCGAGCCGCGAGCCGGAAAGTTTGGCGAGTTCGCCCCGCGCCCGGGGCCGCTTCCTGCCGCCGGGGGCCGGCCAGGGATGCAACAGGACGCGGCGGAGCAGAGCGGCTTCCCCTGGCAGGACGCGCTCGGCGATGCCAGCCTCCGCCTCCCGTTCCGCTGCCCGCGCTGCGGCGAGCGCAGCCGGTTCCGGAGCCTGTCGGCGCTGAGGGCGCACCTGGAGTACGGCCACGGCTACGAGGAGCGGAGCGCCCCGCCCAAAGGCGGCCCGCCGTCCCCGCGGAAGGGCGCGGGCCCGGCCTCGCCTCCGGAGCCCTGCGGCCCGGGCGGCGCCACGCGGTGCGCGCCCCGCGCCGGCTTCTGCGACGCCTCGAGCGGCAGCGCCGACGGCCGGCGGGCGCTGGAGGCCGAGCGGGGGCCGGTCTGCTGCCTGGCCGGCTATGCGCCCGCCGGCTCGCCCGGCTCGCGGCTCCCCTCGCCCGTCCTGCCCGCCGCCGACTCCAAGGCCTCGTTCGAGGCGCACGTCAGGGAGAAGTTCAACAGGATGGTGGAGGCCGTGGACAAAACCATCGAGAAGCGGATCGACAAGCTTACCAAAGAGCTGGCCCAGAAAACGGCGGAGCTGCTGGAGGTGCGGGCGGCCTTCGTGCAGCTCTCCCAGAAGAAGCAGGAGGTGCAGCGGCGGGAGCGCGCCCTGAGCCGGCAGGTGGACGTGGCGGTGGAGATGATCGCGGCCTTGAAGCAGCGGCTCACCGAGTCCGAGGAGGAGCTGCACCGCAAGGAGGAGTAAGTGGGGAGCCCTGTGAGCGGGCCCGGCCGCCCCGGGGCGCAGCGAGGGAAGGTTCGGTCTCTCGCTGGCTGTAGAAGGGCCTGGCGGTCAGCGGCAGCCGAAGGCGGTGTTTCTAAAGCCACGGTGCCGGTCCCTGTAGGGCAGGAAGGCGCGGCTGGAGCGGGTGGCTTCCGCGCCTGGGAGGCACGGCCACTGACATTGACGTTGGCTAGTGCCTGCGATGCGACCCTGCTGTGGTGGGGTTGAAGCACGCGAGCTATCGTCAGCGCGCAGTCTGATTTACGCTGACGCCTCCAAATTATGTTTTATGGGAGAGATGCTTGGATAAGTGCTGTAGGAAATATGTAGCAAAACTAAGTAGCATCTTTTCCCTGAAGTTGCAGCGCAGTGAGCGGTGCCATGCAGGGAGCTGGCCCGTGCAGCAGCAAAGCCATGCTGGAGGCAGTGCTGAACTGGACAGCAAACTACGAACCGGAGTCGGTGGCGGGACAGGAACCAGCTGCCGGTCGTTCTGACTAACCTGGTCCATCTGAAAAATGTGTTTGGGGTGCAGCCGTTAAAAGCGTAGTGATAGCCGATACATTATTTATACATGATCTACTTAGTTTATGCAGTGCTTGATGAAGCCTTTAAAGCTTTTTGGAGCAGTACAGCTTATTTTAGAGGAATGCAAATTAAGACTCTTGGTAATGGAATGCCTGTAGACCAGTTTACCAGCTTACAGAGAGAGATGCTAGTTGCCATGACGCTTTCTTGGGAGAAATAAGGAAGGTGGTGTAGGAGTTCAGTGTAGGAAGTTTGGATGGCTTTCATTGCTCCTTCCTGCAGCATAATCTAACGACTAGAAAGGAAAGGTGCTGATGGCTCCTGTATCTGTAGGAGTCATAACAGAGAGTCCATGCCGTAGATCACCTAGGATAGTGGACAGCAGAGGTGGTGGGATTCAAACCCATCCTCCTTGAGGGGAGGGATGTCATGCATTTTTCAGCATCAGGGGATACCACTGATTTTCATGATCTGAAATATCAGGTGATCTTCATAGACAGTACATCTCAAGAACTCAAGATGAAGCTAAGGATAATAGTGGTATTGAGAGGGATTTCAAAGTATGCAGAAAGAGGCTGTGAAGATGACTTACGGTCTTAAGTAGTTTTGATATTCTCATCTAGCCAAGTTCCCTTATGGGCTCCCAGCATGATTCACCCTACTTGTTCTAGAGAAGTATCTCAGTGTGAAATTGCTCCATGGAGGTCTTGCAGACTAGAGAAAAGTCAAAGGCACCCCTTAGGGACTGCTCTGATACTTACTGACCTTCAAAAATCAGGTAAGCAGCCATATTAGGCTGTAATGGTGAACTTCACATACCCAAAATTAAATGATATGAACCATTCCCCAAACTAAACACAAGGTATGCTGAAAAATGCATGACTTGTGCTCCTCAAGAAAAACATGCTTCTTGAGACGAAGCAAGAAGCATTCAGTGGTGCTGCAGAAGACAAGACCTCCTGGAAAAAGAGCAAGTGGGGAAATGGAGGTACAGTGAGTGTGATATGAGAGGAATGACATTGTAATTTCTGAGACCTGTCTATATATTCATTCCTGTCTGTTTTCAAAAATTTAATTATTCAGTGTGCCAAAAAGACCTTGCCCTTCAAAAAGGAGGATCTGAACTTTGATTTCTGGAAGAAGTCCAGATGATTAGAAAGCCAAACAGGACAGCTTAATGGAAATTGCAGAAGCAGAAGTTCTTGTTGCAGATTGTGAAAAGTCAAAGGCACCCCTTAGGGACTGCTCTGATACTTACTGACCTTCAAAAATAAATGCTTTCAGCAGTTTCTTTGGACTTTTTTTTTTTCCTATAAGCAGCCTTGTAAATATGGATAACTTTTCTCAGAAGTAGTATTGATGTTGAACCACCGTAACAGAGAATTTATTCCTCTTTCCTCTTTGTAGAAGGAAAAAGAAAATAACTTTCTCCCAGAAACATCTCTGTCTCATGCTTTTCGTAAGGAAGAAAACCAGTCTTTGTTTTCAGTGATTGTCCTGTTTACCAGATATCATGGAATAGGCTGGATGCAAAAACCATAAATCAGTTGTTATTATTATGCACTTCTAGATCTCTGAGACTGAACTGTGGCTACTCTAAATCAGTCTGGGGTAAAAGAAAATACATTTATCCACAAGGGGAAAGAAATTTTAACTCAAGTCTTAGACAAGATCACAAAACTTCTTCTTTGGAGGCTTTTGTAGAAGAAAAAGTTGACAACTGGTAAGGGATAGGACAGGTGTGGGTACCAGACTAAGTAAACTAATACATTGTTAAAGCAGTATTACTGTAAGCACAGAAAAGTCTCACAGCAGGTGCTGTAGTCTCATCAAATGTAGAACATCTAAAGGCCAAAGCTACTTTTTTTTCCCCCTTTTTTAATTGTTCTTATCTGGGAGGGAGTGAAAATGAAAACTAGATCTTTTAGAGAAGCAGGTACAGTTACCAAAGTTCCAGTACACCAACTTGCCTCAGTTGAACCCTGGGCAGTTCTGGTGAAATGGCTACAGGGTCAAGCCTTTAGAAACAAGCAAACAAATGATTTAACTTAAAAAGGCGCCCTGAGAGGGGATATTCAGTGTCTGACAAATGAGTGTGGAAATCAACATGAGTACTGTGATCTTAATGCTGAAACACAGAAGTTTTCCCAAAAGGGATAAGGTTGTGTTGAATAAGACACCAACAAACAAACAAACAAACAAACAAACAAACAAACAAAAAAAACAAACAAAAAAACAACAATCATTCAAACTAAAAGGAGCTACAAACTCCTCCTATAGAGGACAGCTAGAGGCTTGTTTCTGGAAGTTGTGTAAAAACAGTGAAACAATGACTTAATTTCACTTTGTCTCTTAACAAGGACACACATGCAGTAAATTGTCATCTCTGACAGTACTTTGTTTAACTGGTCTAATACATTTGTTTTAAGACTGTCTGGTTATGCCTCTGCTCTGGTACAGCCTGTAATAAAAGGGCTATTTCAGAATAGCTGTTGTGGTGAGTGATTACTTTTGCCATTGCCTTCACCTAAAATTTGTGATTAATGAAACTGTGTAAATAACAGCTTTACAGTGAGTTTTAGAGTTAGCTCTTAAAGACCACTGCAACTGATGCTTTCTCTAAAATATCAGCTTTCCTTTAAGTACAAGCTTCAGTTGTACAATAAAAGTTTAGCTTTTTGCTCTAAGAATATGACCACAGCTAGATGTCGTTCTTCAACCCTTGGTTTCAAGGCATCCTGCTCCCTCTTCCCCACCTCCTTTCATCTTCCCACTCAGGAGATTACCCCCCCTCCCTTGCTTGTTCTGGCTCAAGTGTCCCACAAAATGGGTCTGTGAATTAAAGCATTTTAATCTTCACAGTGTCACCCCAATAAGTTCAGGGCTCAGATCTAGACCACAACCCAGTGAATGGGTGCAACTGATAGGACAGTAACTCTCTGAGAGGAGGAGGTGTGAACCTCTTAAATCAGATGTGCTGATATTGGTGCAGGAATGTGAAACCACAGCCTAATGAGTAACAGATGCCAGCCTTCAGGCAGTAATGCCAATGGGATGATGGATCAGGTCAGCAGCATTGATACTTCATGAATGTATATGCTTTAAATATTTTCACAATGAAAACTTGCTTTGGTAGGAACTCTGCTGTCCTCAGGTACAATAACAAAAGGATTTGTTTCTCTGTCCACTTTAGGCAAAGGTATTCAAAGTATTCAAATTCTGTAAAGGGATTTGATACTTGGGCATGGAGTTGGCATAGAGCCTTGTGCTTGTCCGCCTACAGAGCAGTTGCAGGTGTCAGAGTTGCTGTAAATAGTCCCAGGACCAGTGTTATCTATCTGTAGGAGGGTTTGGTTGCAATGTGTGAAACCATTATCCCTTACTGTCAGTTGTTAAGGAGCTGGAGGTGCCCCAGGCTCTGCATCTACTTTGGGTATCACATGTTTATCTGCAAATACTAAGGATAGCAGAAGAGTCCACGTGCCAACGACTGCCCTGGTGACACAAACCCCAAACTCAATAGTTTGTTGTTCTCTCTTGCTTTACTCACCCTGCGAAGGAACACTCATCCCTCCTAAAAGATTTTGTCTGAGGGAGGTTGCAGCTCCTGAGACAAAGGAGGAAACTGCCCCTTGTCCTTGCTGCCTGGTCATAGCCCTTCAACAAACCATTATGCTGTACAACATATGCTAATGTAAGTCTTGCAAACTATAGGCAAACAGACTAAATCACTTTGCTTCCTGTTACAGAAATTTACATACGTTCAAATTGCAGCATCACCTACTCCACTTGGAAAATGTTGTGGCAGGATCTAGACCTTACAGAGCTCTTAAAACAAGGGCTGGGATGCAGTGGAATGAAAAGAGGTTGGAGGTTGACAGAGTGGAGGAAAGTGAAGGAGCAGAGGAGAGTGGGAAAGAGGTGTCACTGAAAACAGAAGGATTCCAGAAGAGCTAATAGCTCTGCATAACCTTTCCTTAATACAGCAGCAGTGCTGCAGATATACAACAGTCAGCCTAGGGTAGCAGAGACTTCCAAACAGAAAGGGCAGTGCTTCAGGTCTGAAGATGATCAGAGGACTGGAGCATCTCTCTGAGCAAGAAAGGTTGAGGGAGTTGGATTTGTTGAGCTCAGAACCTTATTGCAGCCTTCTAGTACTTCAGGGGAGCTTATAAACAAAAGGGAGACTGTTATCCTACACAGTCTGATAGTGATGGGACAAGGAGGAATGACTTTAAACTAAAAAAGAGGAGGTTTAGGTTAGGTGTTAGATGTTTACTCGGAAAGTGGTGAGGCAGTGGAACAGGTTGCCCACAGAAACTGTGGATACTCCATTCCTGAATGCATCAAGGCCAGGTTGGAAGGGGCCCTAGACAATCTGATCTAGCAGTTGGTCTAATGGTCAGTGACTGTGCCCATGGCAGGGCGTTGGAACTTGACAGTATTTAAGATCTCTTCAACTTAAGCATTTATTTGATTCCATGAAAGAGTAAAAGATGGATATCATTATGCAGCATTTCCCCAAAATTTGGCAGAGGCCTGGAAAAATAAATTGAAAGTAAATTAAATAGTAAAAGCACAAAATCATCACAGCTATTAGAAATAGATACTAGAAATAAAACCGAAGCTAAGAAAAGGTCTGCACAAACTACAAGAAACAATAAAGGCAATTAAGCTGATAAACAGTGGCTGCAGAGAAACTATGAGTTCTTTGGAGTATTTCCCTATTGGTCATGATGGGAGGAGGGTAAAAATTCTTCCTTCAAGTAACCAAGGCACAGCAGTGATGCAAAGTGAACTCTCTGAGGAAGAGGTCTTGGAGCAAGTAGACCTACCACCAGTCACTCCCAGGGGCTTCTGAGAAGTTGGAATGAAAACAAAGAAAGTAGCTGAAGTAAAAAAGGTGCTGCTTACAAGGACAAGGCATGAGACTGAGCTCTAGTGGGTGGGCATTTTCTGGCTCCTGTCTTTATAGAAAGAATTTACAGAGTGGTTGTACCATTTCAGCACAAATGAAAATCTTTAGATAAAAGTTCTTATTACGATTCGTAGATTGTATTGGGGAAGCTGAACAGAGGAAAATGATGGAAATGGTACTATTGCTGCTAGTAACAGTTCCTACAAATAATGACTTGTAGGATGCCAAGCTATCTTGAATAGTCTAGAAAGTAAGGCAGATACTCAGGAATTTATCAAGTCTGTATGTCTGTTCTCCTGATCATGATCTCAGTCTTTCCCCTATTCCCTTATGGCACAGCTCATTAACTACATATTTATAGGAAAGGAAAATTTGTCAGTGATCTGCCATGGAGCAGGAGACTAATGAGTGCTTTTTAATTACTTTTGCTGACACAATTACAAGTATTAGCATTCATGAAACTATCAGCCTTTTAAAAGCAAGTGCCAGGTCCTCAGTGTTTGTGGCAGAAGCTGGCTGCGTGGCCTGATGGGGACGTCCCAGAGGTGTCCCAGGCTGGCAGGGCCCTGCTCAGCCCCAGTTAGAAGGCCAACAGCCTTGCAGAGCACGCACAGGTCTCCACCTTAATAAATTTCTCTCCTTTGAGCTTCCCATCAGCTGCAAAGAGGAGCCTGTTGAAGTGCCATCAGCTTCATAAATCCAGAGTGGAATTGTGAAATGAAAGGAATTGCAGTGCTGTAAGTGAGGTGATAATAAAGCCTTAAACATGACCTCTGTGAGTTTAGATGAGCTTCTTCCTAAGCATTCTTTGATGGCTTTTCATTATCAGGTCACTCTGAACAAGCACAATCACAGCCCTAAAACTAGAAAGCGTTGGCAGAGTTTAAAGAACAGGCACCTCTCAATTTCTTAGGCCAGATTTTGTGGGTAAGTTAATATAAACTGACATTCACGAATCTTCTCGTCCAAAAAATATGTGCTGGTTTATAGCTCATTCCTACCACTAGATCATCCACATATACAACTCATGCGCTCTGCTGTGGTGCAGATTGGTGCAGCTTGAAGTCTGAATGGCAGATTTGCATAGCTGACCGCTTGTGCCTAACTTCATAAGGCAAAAACAGCACACTGTTAAAATAATTGTCTACAACAATGCTGAGTGAATCTGATGAAATGCAGAGAAGCTTTGGATTTGTTATAAACAAAGCTCTGAAAGGCTATTACTGCATTTCCTAGTTTAAGCTTAAAATGCTTTTTATCTCAGGCGCTGCAATTCAAATGAACGTGAACTAATCATGCTCTTTTTCATTTGGCAAGCATTGGTTCTCCCAACTCCCACATCCTAAGTTCTGTACACAGCGAAAATGAACATGGCTTCATTGGCAGAGCAGGAGCTGTTTATCTAGGCTTTATTAACTGGGGAAATCGTGCATGTCCAGATTTGCCATTTTTTGTAATACATGGCTCACTGTAACCAAATGTCTCCCACTCTGAACTCCTGAAAGAAGAGGCCCAAACGGCAGCCCATGTATTAGCAGTATGCAGAGCACTTCAAAATGAGCTTTGTTTCTGTGCACAGCTGAAATCTTTCCGAGTCAGCAGTGCTATCTGTTGCTTCCAGTTGTGTCACCAGACAAGAAATATTTCTAAACTCCTGAACTTGGTCTTCCCACACACATACTCCTTGTCTGATCATCTCTAGATTCTCTCTTAATCTCCTATGCTCCCACCAGCTCCAAATACTAACACGGGACTTGGAAGTACTTGCAGGATTGCAGCCAAAATGGAGGTCAATGGTCATAGTAGCTCTTTTAGGTTAGGAACTACCACAGCAGCTACATTAAACTTCCATTGTAAGATTATGATGAACCAGGAAGATTTTATACACTTCATGTTTCAGGTCAGACAGGCACATTTCTAAATATGAAAGGAGAAGGTGGATTGTTTTTCAGATAGGTGGCTGTGTCCAGAGAATACAAGAGGTTAATGGTGATGCTTAATGATAAAAACATTTCTGTCCAGTGGCCCGCAGACCAACAAGACTGTTATTAAGAGATCTAATAACGGGACTGCCAAACCCACTGCCTATAAACTTGAATTCAGCGTTCAGGGTTCCAAACCTTCACTCAGTGTTTGAAAAAAATACTGAAATCCCTTAATAAAGGAGAAGGACAGTAATTAGTCATCATGGGAAATCACCATGAAGAAAGTTGGGAAGTATCGGTAATTCTTTGGCAGCAGCAAGACCCTCACCCCTCCCATTATTTAAATCTTGCCTCTGTGCCATATTTTTGTCTTACAGAGAAGTTGTTACTTTCAACCACTTCCTCGAAGAAGCAGCAGAAAAAGAAGTGAGGGGAAAAGCCAGACTCCAGCACTTCATCGAGAACCTGTTGCAGCGTGTGGATCTGGCAGAAAGGCAGCTAGAGTATTACCAAAATCAGCAGATTGCGTGCAACCACACGGGTGGCAGTGACCACGTGGTAAGCCAGCAGAGTTCTTTCATTAATTGTCACCCACCGCTCAGGGGAAAGTGCTCAGCTTTGACTGTGAGTAGGCTCAGCGGGACAAGCTAATTGCTATTCCAGACAGGTTTGGATTGGTACAACATTTCTTTAGACTTACGTTTATTTATGTTTTAACCTAATGTAACCAGATCATAGGATAGTGAACAGCAGACAGATGACAACTCCAGCTTTGTGCCCTTACAGCTCCAGTCAGGTACTGGTACATGAGGGATGGAAAGAACAGCGATAACTGTAAACACTGCTGCTACACAAAGCCACACAAAACAAGGCTGGTGTTTCCTTCCCTCTTACTGATACTGCTGCTGCAACTGGCTGTTTGTGGGTCCTGGTGGCCATACAGCAGAAAAATTAACCTGGCAGAACAACTAACCTGGCAAAGGGTGGGAAAGGTAAAAGTGGTGGCAAGGCACTGTGCCATGTGAAAACCACAGTGCCATTGGTGATCAGACATACCCCATTCCTTGCCCTTGCTGTGGTTTCCTGCAGAACCAGCTGTGGGACTTTGATTAATGGGGTAAGACTGGAAGCAATGAACTGGGAATGAAAAGACAGGGTAGGTCTTGCACTGGCTTGGGGTGGCCACATGGGTAGACCTATTGGCCAGAGAACACTTTCTGAACTCTTCTCAGATCTGCAGCAGTGTGGAAAAGATTGAGCGAACAACATATAGAAGTTCATCCCGTAGTTCATCCCATCTTGACTCCACTGAAGCCAGACTTTATTTCCTTTTGAACAAAGAAAGGAGCAGAGAGGATGAGAGCATCCAGAGATAGGAAAGAGAGAGAAGACAGTAATGAAATATTCGCCAGATTGTTATTTTTTTCCAACTTGGGCTATTTGGTTTTGCTGGAAACACTTTCTCTTGCATCACATACTGACAGTTTTTTGGAGATCCCTGAAGATTTTCAGGAAAGAGGTGGATCCTTGTAAAAGACATGTAAGCCTGCTGGCAATTCAGCTTGCTTTCCTGTCAGAAGACTTGTAAGAAGAGTGAGCAGATTCCCTGTCAGACTTCACAGACGACAAACCACTACTGTCTGAACACTGCTTTTAAGAATAACTATTTCTGGAAAAGCTCTCATTATTACTACTAAAACTCAGTATTTTCCCTACAATGCATCATATTTATGTGGCAAGTTTTATCCACGTGGCTTCTACAGTGAATTTCAAATCCAGTGAATACCCCATATTATCTGTGTTAAATAGTCACTGCCCCATGGACATGAGATGAGAGGCATTTGATCATGCACTGCAATAAACAGGCACGTAGTGGTGGAAAGCAAAGGTTCCTCTAGCCACCTGGGAGACAAAGACCTATAGGCAAGAACCAGATAAATGTAGACGTGCTGAAACGTTGCATAAGACATCTCAGCCAGTATCTGTGAGAATGTTGAGGGGGGCTGCAAAGGTGTCCTCGGTATTGAATCTTCTCCCATACTCTTGATGTGTTTATCGGGATCCCTGGCTCAGCAGCGTTCCCTGGGGAAGGCAGTGATTTTTAAGGCAGCTGACCTGCTTTCTGAGTGACTTCAGCATTCCTTTAAGGTCACCCATCCAAATATTGACCAGCCTGACCTTCACGAGGTAATTACAGAAAAGCACACCATGGGATGGCTCCAGACTCCTATCCAAGACAGATGACAGCAAAGTCAGGCTGGGCACAAGTCCATCTGCAAAGTGTGGACAATACCAGGGACATAGGGAACATTTGCTTGGCTCAGTGACTTCATTAAATGATACTCAAAGGCTCAGCGTAGTGACACTGACGAGAGATCAACACAAAGAAGCCAGGCAGTACCCAGACTGCTTTAGGCTGAGCTGGCATTAAATGCTTCCTTTCCTGACCCTCAGAGGGGCTAGATAAAGTGATACCAAGCTCTCAACCAAACTCTTGTAAGAAACAAAGCCCTGCAAAGTTCTGCCGGCGCTGCAGCTATACTGTCCCTACTTAATATTGAGATTTGGGTTGGGAAGGGTGAGAAACACACGTGTTTCTCTTGCCTTGAGTGCAGCTGCAAGAGAGCCAAGGGCTCTCTTGCTTGGTAGCTGAAGTTTCCTAGCTGTTCATGTAAAGGAAATATTATCGCTGCAAAATTAAGGGCTCTGAGAGAAAATTAATTTAATATAGCTTATTCAAGCACTGTCCCTTGTTGATTATCTTCAACACAATAATTACTTCTTATTGTTCCATACTGTTTAATCTAATGTGAAACATCTCTGTTCAGCCCACACTTGCTTAGCAGTTTACTGTGATTATCATTGTGATAAAAATAGCAGGGAGAAATTCCCACCACAAAGTTTTAAAAACAAAATAAATTGGATGTAAAAAGGTTTTTTTCTAAAGTTTTTTTCTTGAGTATTTTCTATAACTAAAAGGAGGTGGGAATAGAAATGGGATTTTGAAGACTACTTTACATGTATTTTACCCCCACATCTAAGCTACTTGATAATTTGATACTGATAAATTTTCTGTTTTCCTTGCAGTTTACAGACATTTCATTAAACAAGAAACCCAGATGCCTGTACGTATGTCTTCTTTTCTTACCGAAAGATGTAACTTGGTGTGCTTACATTGTTGCTTTTGCATTTCAAATTGAACCAAAAGCCTGAATCAGATTGGGTTTGATGAGATTCTGTACCAGAGGGTGGTCCATCATTATGTGATGTGATAGAAAAATAACAAATCGCTGCTAACTCAAAATAAAATGAAATATTTTTAAAGGAAAAAAGAATAATTTTATGTAAAGTAAATGACTTTCCCATTGGACTCTACTAGCCTATTGCAACACTACAGTTCTGGAATCTGTTTGGTAAACACAGACCAAGCTTCAGCTGAAAATATCTTTAACATTCTGTAGGTAGGAGAGAGACAGTTGTCATTTCCTAACTGACAGTAACACTGTCAACTTAAAGATCACGTGTAAACAGGCAAGTGTCCTCAGAAAATATGGGTGCTAACAACATCTCAAGTTACTCAAGCATCTGTTCCGAGAGCAGCAGAACTAATCTGGGCTGTTTTCCTAAGGTATGGGTGACTTTGTATTTTCTTTTCAGGTCTGTAGATGCTATTGTAATCAAGGAAGATAGAAGGGAAGATAGACTTCCACTTGAGAAATCTTTGGTCTAAATGTAATGCATTTTAGTAAAATCCATTAATTGCTGACAAATAGTAGGAGTTCAAAGGCATGTGTGCAACTGTTCAGAGGTTTCTGTTTAACTACTCTTAAAGTTCTCCTTTCAAAAGGCACTGGCAAAACCAGCATTCAGTGGTAACCCCTTTATTTTGAATGATCAGATTAAAAATATTTTGTCCCAAGAAGCATAGAGGAGAAGATGATCAGAGGGGTAGGCTTATTTTGCTTTGCTCATTCTGTGGATGAAGGCAAATTCTGATTTTTCAAATAGCAGCCTTGAAAGGAGGCCAGATTTGAAGGAAAAAGACAGATGAAAACAAATTTTGTTGGTACCACATTTCTGTTTGAAAAAGAGGGTCCCTGTGCAGTTATGTGAGGAGGGGCACAACTGGAGAAGTGTTAGGTTGGACAGTACATTACTGGTATCTTACTGTAAATCAGGCACACCAGGAGAATGGCATGGAGAGAACAAAAGTGAGGTTGTACATCCTTAAGGGAGAGGCTGTCGCTGTGGCACTTGCAAGCTGCAGCTTTTTCCAAAACTGGCTTTGTCAGTGTGCAATATTGTTTAACTCCCAGGACAATTAATACCAGATAGGTGGTTTCCAGACACGGCAAACTAACAAAAATAGCCCTGTGGGAATCTTAAGAGGCGGCACATCTGCTCTTCTCATTGATCGTAGCAGCTGGGGCCTACATCCATAGTACTGCTGTTACACTACATGTACCTGTTGTAAAATATTTTGAGATGATGTTAAAAGGGACTGTAATGTTCTTAGTTGAACTGTGGTTTAAAGATAAAATCACAGAGCAGAGGGCATGGTTTAGCTTGCACAGCACCACACATTTAACGGCCTGAGCTCATCAATTTCATCATCTCCTGCTGGGCCTGAACCATCACAGAGAGAATAAAAAATTCAGCTTACTTTGGCCTTTAAAATTCTGTACCCATCTTCACACCAATTTCTTTATTCTCCTTTCCTCTTCTCCCCTTTCATATTGCAGCCTAAAGCAAATCTAAAGAGTTCAGAGCCGGGTGGCCAGCAAACAGGCAGTTGAGTTTCCTGAGCTACAGAGGTATCCTGGGGCTTGGCCCAGGCAGTGCTCAGATCCCACCAGCGGACCCCACAATTCTTGCACCCACTTTCTGCTGTCATTGGAGCCAGCGTGGTCTTCCAAAGACTGCAGGGACATCTGTTCTTTGCAGAGGGTTGCTTTGAATGTTATAACATCCCTTTAGTTAAAGAGGATGTAGACCTGAGCAAGGTGGCAGCGCTCCAATATCAGCAGAATCATATCCTGAATGCTAGTGAGGGATCCACTGGGAATGTGTAGGAACTCTTGTAGTGAGAGATGCTTTTGAGTATTGAGAAACGTAGTTCATATTGCAATTGTTTTTAACTTTCAGTCTGGCCCTGTAGAACAAGACTGTTTTCTGCCTTCAAAACTATATGGGTTTGGGACATTCTCGACACCTTTTGCGTTGGAAGATTGAATAATAATTATTGTTAATCATTATTATTATTAATTTCAGGAGCCGAGGAAGTCAGCACACTTCATATAACATCCCTGACACAAAGCCTCATTCCTTTCAAAAAGGAAGAGGCTTGCTGAAAAAAGCAAAGGAAGAGAAAACCAGCTTGCAGCCAGTCAGATGCTTCTGTGAACCTGTTGATTGCCCAAGAGAAATATGGAGAGCACAAAAGAAGGGTGAACCAGTCTGCTCTGCCCGGAAATTGAGTGCAAAGTCCAAGATGGGTAAAAAGGCCAAACAGCTATAAGAGCAGCTAAAGATACACAGTCACGCAGGAGCTTGGCTTCGGCAGAACAAATACTGAAGTTAATCATCCCACTTTTTCCTATCGGTCTGGCCACATCAAACATATCAAATAAAATATAAGGGAATATATGGCATATTTATATTATTTAGTAACGCCATTCCTTCTTTGGGCACTAAAAGAGAAGGGACATTTTATTCAGTTTACATGGAGGGTTTTCTATCTATTTATTTATTTATAGAGCTTATTTTAAATGACTGCAGTTATCTTGCGGGGCAATACTGTGGCTGTATGTTTAATTATTTTAGTGCCAGCATGTGGCTTGGTAATTTATTTTCCATCTATGCTGTTGCTGAAGTTCAGAAGAATCCATTTAATCGGCACCCAAATAATCACTCTTCCAGCTTAGACGGGCATAAGATCAATGATTAACTGCTACCTGTGCAGGCATACTTAGATGCAAAAAGCTTATCTGAGTTGCTTGGAGGCTGTTAACAGCAGCAGATTGCTACCCTGCCTGTTGGGCCCTTCTCTAAACCTGGCAGTGCAGCCCTCACCTGCATGGAGCGCGCTGAGCCCGGGTGGCAGCTGGCAGCAAGCAGCAGCAGCTGGAGGGCAGTGAGTGCAGACCAGAGCAGCACACTGCATTGCATGGCACCCTGCGTGAGGCTGCGCCCTTCAGATCTTTATCTCCATGAAGAATCCTTCCAAGGATAATAGATTCTGGAATTTCAACTGCAAACCCAAGAGTGAGGAAGACTGCAGGAGGGGAATACCTGTGTTTACAGTGGTTTGTGCCAATTAAAAGGATCCTTATTTATCAGAGTGTATATCAAGATGATTTTTCCATGTGTACAGTTTTTTGGTAACATGAATCCTCATACCATGTTTACAAATAGGAACATCCTGTCTCTGTTACCGATGGGATTTGTTTTCTCAAGAAAAAGAATAGGTGGGACAAGTCTGCGTAATTTATTTTTAAATGCTCATATAACAGATGTAAATTGCTTTTGTGGAAGGTGATTTTTACAGTATGTGTCTAGAGATTTGTGAAAAATGTTTTTCATTTTTATAACTGACTGCAAGCAGAAATGAGTTTTAAAAGACAGCGTGTCGCTATGATTACTGCTGCAATAAGCACCTGAGCTGCAATATTTTTAGAGCAGATGACCAGTCTGTTAGCTCAGATCAGGTAACTACAGATGTCATACATCTGTCAGTGCACAGAGCTCCCAGAAAGTAGCAGAGTGAAGAAAGAGTATTATTCCTCACTTCTATTTTAAATGGTGTTTGTGGAACAATCAGATATATGTTTAAAGATTCTCAACATCGTTTTGATAGAAAGTCACAGTGTGAAACAAATTCAGGTATTTTGTTTGCAATGACATTTTAATATTTAACTCTGTCACAAGGCCACACTCGGCCTTACGCTAACCATTGTGGTGGAAAGGATTTGTCAGTTGTGTTGCATGGGTTTTGGTCAGGTCACGCGTAATGAGAACATTCTTAGGCAAACCACATCATAGAAACTACCTTTGATTTCTTCTGCTCCCACTTTCTACAGACATGAAAACAACCCTTTTTTGAGGATAATGAAGGTGATCTTTAGAAAGTAAATATGTTATTCCATTCCTTAATTCACTTGACACAGAAAGTATTATTTTTACATGCCTATCTACTCTGTTTGTCACCAAAGTTAAGTGCAACTACTAGTTCACTAATGAGATATTTATTTTATTATTTATTGCGCCAAAATCTTGACTGTAAGTTGTCCTTTTTTGGGGAGAAGAGAAAAAAGAGAGTAAAAGAAGTTGCATGTTCTTAAACTTTTCAAATCCTAATTTATAGTTACTTGCTGAACAGATGCTGGGTTAGTTAATTGGAGAGAAATTGGATTGCACTGTAACCCCAGATAAAAGTTTTTAGAATATAAACATTCTAATAATAAAGTTATATTTCTCAGTTACGGTGTTGTTTAACTTTGTGAAAATACAGTGTTTTTAAAAAAGCCTATCCAACAGCAGAGAAAAAAGGCAGCAAAGAATAGTCCCCTTTGGACTTGGGCCTGCTCCTTGCACAAAGGGAAATTCAGTAGGAGCTGGATGCCCAGTTCCCAGACATTTTTAGAACACCTTGTCAATAACTAAGGCCACCTCAGAGCAGTATGTGTGCAGGCTGGGCCCTCACAGGTCATCTTTGCTTAAAACAAAATGTTCTAACACACATAACGTTATCAGCCAGGAAAACAAGAGACTAATTGAAAACCAGACCTCTAATGAGAGCTCTTCACGCACAAACCGCGATTCTGAGATGCTCCTGCCAGCCAGAGAGAGTGCATTTTTGAAGCACTTGATGGTATCTGTCCCCTCTCCCCCATCTCAGTAGTAAAAACAACCTTCTCCTGCCACAGCAGATCTAAAGACATTTGTTTTCAAGAGTTACTGGAAATATTCAGCTAGATATTTGTACTCAGTGGGATGGCCACCAATTAGAGCAGTTACCAAGTCAAACAAATTAGCACTTGTATTATCTCTAATAATCTCTTCCAATGCAACCAGCTCTTTCAGTCTCCTTGAGTGAAGCCCCACTATTCTCTCTCTTCATTCTGCGTCACCAAATAGTTGCTTCTATTTGTTCTTACATCAGGCTAATGCTGATTATTTCCATACATCCTGTCTGAAGTGGTTGGAGTGGACTATTTTAGTGCTTTCTGCAGCAGGCATGGGCATCTATTTTATTATTTTTTTTAAAGAAAAAATAATCCCAGAAATGATTTATGACATGAAACATGCAACAAACTCTTAAAAATAGATCCTGTTGTGACATGAACAAAATGTCCTTTCCCATTTTGCTGCTAATGCCACCCTCTAGCCAGCCACGTTTTGTAGCCTGGTCTCTTGAATTACCAGCTGAGTGTCTCTCCAAGGAGACACAAGCAGCCCAGGGTCTGCCCTTCTCCCTTGTGAGAAGTGCTGTGCAGGCACCTGTTGGGCAGAAGCACGCGCCAGCCTCGGTCCTGCTTGCAGCCAGGCTGCCCAGTGGCATCTGAGCCAAGCCACGCGGGGCCACCCCCGGCCAGGGGCCCTGTGCAGGGACCAGCCTGGGGCATAAGGAACCCAAATAACCCACAGCTTAAAGGACCTGAACCCACTTCTGCACAAAGCAGCTCCTCAGTACATCTATGCCTGTCCCCATAGCTCCTCACTTCCCAAGGCTGCTCAGGCTCCTACCAGCATTGCAAATGGTCTGGGACGAGAGGTGCAGGGGAATGCTGAATAACTCTGCTGCATGCAGCATGTTCTGAAAACAGGCTTTAAAGGCACTGAGGATCTTCCTCAAAGGCAGTGTCAGGGGTGGTACCCCTGTCCCTGACCCATCCCATACCCAAGGAAATGTTTCAGCTGTGCTGGGAGCCAGAGGATCCACAAGAGGGGCAGGGGCAGTGAGGTCCATCTGCAAAGCACTGTGCCGACACTCCTACAGGCTTCACATGTTGGCAAATTATTGGAATCGCCATCCCAGTTATAATGAAGGAGCTGTAACTCCTTTGTCAGTTCATTTAATTGCCATGGTGACCACACAACCACTAAGAACAGGTTTTATCACAGCTTTGCCCTACTTAAAGAAAAATTTGTTGGAAGCCATCACCCGTGTTTCAGCAGAGCCACCTCTCTGCGGAGGGCAGCTGAGGGCAGCGGGAAGAAGGCAAAGCCAGGTCCCAGTGAGGTGGGCAGAGCAATGGCTGAAGGACAGGCAGGAGTTCATGTTTCCAGAACCGTAGGTGGGGACAATGAAGAGGAAGATACAACTGGCGCAGTCAAAACAGATTAACGTGGCACGTGCTAAAGAAGGAGGGAGCAGGGCACCCAACAGGCTCTGCTCCCTTCTGTTCTTTCACTAGGCTTCAGCAGCTTCACTACTTTGTTAACAAGGAATTTGAGGTGTCTGTCCTGCCCTATACACATGGCATTCCCACCCCTGGTTTTCCAGAGTGCATCATGAAAGCACTTGTAAGAGGGGTTATTTTTTATTTTACAGACCTAAAATGTTCCTTTTGTTGCAAGTAGATGAAAACCTACATTATGGATACACATCTTCCTGGATCTCACGTCTGGGATTGTTTTGCACGTGAACCAGGGTGGTGTAGAAAGTCCATCCACCTCCTGGGCAAAAGCTGACACCTTCCTATTTATCTTTGTTAACAGTTGAGGTGCCTTAGAGGCACCCGTGGGGTTCAGGTGCCAGGAGGGACGGTCCCATTGTCGTACAAGCCGGTGTGAGTTCAGAGTGAGCCCAGGACACGTGAGCTTAAGCTGAAAATTCCCTTTTCACGGGAAAAAACTTGAAGAGGTCAGCGAAGTTAGCAGGCGAAAGGAGGGGGAGCCCCCTGCCGCTAGGTGGTGATGGCTGACAACGAATCGGCGCCGCACGCCGTGCCGGGCTCTGCCCCGCGCTGGGTTCGCTCGCTCCGCTCAGGCTGGGTACCGAGTAACGGAGGCCTTACCAAAGAGGTGCGGGTGTCGTTTAATTAAGAAAGCTAGAGAAGCTTATTGAAGACGAGACCAATGAGCGAAGTGTTACTAGTAGTCACACGCAGTAAAGCATCAGCTGTGCCAGTCTCACCACCACACAAACGGAACAAATAATCCACATTTCTTCTGCAGGGAGAGCCAGCCCTGTACACCACCCATTGCCGCTGGCAAAAAGCAGCGTTTTGCACTCGGACAACCAAAGGCTGAGGCACGGCGTGTTGGTGACACACCATGATTTTAAGGCACTGGGACAAAAACACTGGTTTTCCTCTCCCCCAGGCACGCTGCCTCGGCAGCACTGGGCACTGGGACAAAGTCCTCGGGCTGTGGGTACCCACATGCTGCCCTGCACCCCCTCCCTGCTCCCTTGTGCCTGCAGCTCCTGCCCCCCTGCTGAGCGCCTCAGCCTGCTTCTTCCTGACCCCAATTAAGAGACTTTATTCTTATTATAGAAATTAAGTCTGCTTGGAATAAAATGGCAATTTTCTCTTATAAAACGATGACTTTCTGAAAGACATAAGAGGACTAATGCACTCGGCAACAGCTAACGACTACATGCCAAATGGCCCTTTGCTTTTAGCACACCCCCGCCTGCTCCTCCATGGCCCGGCGAGCAGATCTGTGCGCAGGAGCGCGCTGGCCGGCAAGAAGACATTTCTGGTACAGAGCTGTAGGGATGTGCCCGGGGTGCCAGGATCTGCCACAGGGAAGAAAGGCATGGGCAAAAGGATGCAGCTGCAGGAGGGGACCGACCTCCTGATGGCTCCTGCCTGGGGGCTGCTGCACTGCCCATCTCGAGGCAGAACAATTCAAACTATGGTGACTTGCACACAAGCAAGAGACACAGGAATCTGTGGACATGTTACATCCATCACTGTCACATTTACCAGTGCAATACACATATGGTCCTGATGAACCCTGCTGCCCCAACAAAGCTTCAGGAAGCTTTTAAGGTTCCAAATTTGTATTTAAAAGGTGACAGTTTTTCTCCCAGACCATGCTAGATGTCCTAACTATGTTTCAGTCCAGCTGGCAGAGCCCCACTTCCATGCTGGCAGTGACTCCCCCTCTCCCAGTTGGTTCCCCACCCCAACAAACAGCACTCAGGAGCTGGCAGCACCGGAGGAGTGCCCCATGGTAACGTGAGAGCACACCCACAGATCTGCCACTCGCAGAGCAATCCACAGGCAGAACTTTGTTTCTAGGAAGCAATGGTCAGTTCAGATAACAAGAAATCAGTACAAATCCAGTATTCAAATAAACACCAGCTCTGAATAGCTGACCCACTTTGTACATAATCTCGGTACAAAATCTTGACTATGAAATTTGAGGCAGGTTGGTTCCAGTTGGTCAACTTCAAAATGAAGAACACGTTCAAATGGGGCTTAGAGCAAAGGTTTCTTCCAGATTTACCTTCAGGCCAGTCTGCCTTGGTTCTGACAGCGATACAGTGACTGCAATCTTCTGCAAGCATCCTGTTTAGATTATCTGCGGTTCGGTTTGCCATGGAAGTACATGCTGTGGACAGACACAGCTCAAACCTAGCTTCTGAGCACCTTGCTATGAGTATGGTGCCACTTCCTTCTGGTGCTACAGCAAAAACAGCATCGCAGAGCTCTGCTGCGAGCCCTTCCCACCTGTGTGGGTATGTATGGGGTAGTGTGCAGCCCCTGAAAATGGCATTGAGAAAGGCAGGCCTACCATGCTAGGATACACGCATCTTGTAACTAAAACCCCAAAGTATTTCTTATCCAATCAACCCACGGTATCTCTGGGCTGCAAGTCAGACCATGCTACCCAAATGTGCACAGCAGTTACACAGCAGTGTGGGTTGTCCCACTTGTGCGAGGAGCTGCAGCAAACATGGCTGCTTGCTACCGAGATGTGCTGCGTGCAGCATTTGCAAACGGAGCCATTCATTACCCCTCTCAGCTCCAGCTCCAAAGAAATGTACCACAAGACCACAAGTTGTCAGCACACTTAACCTTCACCCTTGCACTGAGGATTCAATTCAGAATCTACCTCAAAGTTGTAATCAGCAACAGCGCTCATGCTGTATGTAGAGAAACTCTGATTTCTAGTAACACACAAAAAAGAAAGCTGCGAGCAAAGCCATAGAGTCACTGCAGCAGAACAGCACGCCTCTTTTACAAGTGTGTAATTTCTGGTTGGTAGCAAACTGAAGCGAGGGAATACAAGCAGACAACTGCCAGGTAACACAAGAGAAAACTACACACAGGATACGGGTCTAACGCTCAGGATGCCTGCGGACATGAACAACATAATTGTGTCACTAATTGTAGCTCCTAATGAAAATGGCAACGGGGTTCTTGGGAATTGGACGGACTCACATAACTTGTTATTTTAAGTAAATACCATAATTGGTATGAAAATCCAGCAAATAAAATATGAAAAACAGTATGAACTACC